CTACAACCAGTATTACAACAACTACGACCAGTGCTACAACAAGTACATCGAGCACAAGTCGAACGACAAGTACAACTAGTGTTACAACAACTACAACCAGTGCTACGACAAGTACAAGCACGACAACTAGAACGACAAGTACATCGACTACAAGTCGAACTACAACAACAACGATCACAACGACCAGTAAGTGAATTGATTCTTTAGCCATATGAATAATAGCACATAATGTTGTATCAAACAAATTTCCTATTATTTTATCAAGAAAAAAATACATAATCATTTCTAAATCAACGATAGTTAGAAATGACGATTAAACTAAGTATATGATTAATAGATTTTTTTTATCAACTTTTATGTACTGATCATGTAGATGACGAAGAAAATACTAAAAACTGACGTTATTATAACTGAATATCTGTGTATCGAAGTATTAGAAGATTGTCCAGTTTCAAATGATATATTGTATGAAGGAAATGATATTTTGGAAAAATAAAGTTGAAAATCACGTATTAGTTAGATCATAAAAGGTAGTAATAACACTATTTATTTTCTTTTGTCGAAAAAGAAAGAAATAATATTTATATTTTTATTGATATATTTCGATATCAATGAATGCTGTTGAATCATCTGTTGAGAATTTATGAGAATCAAATGTTGATAAGAATAATAGTAGTATTAAAAATGATTGAAACAGTCATTTTTCATGATATAATTGACGCAGTTGACAGATTTCTTGTTCTATATGTAATAATGTGTTGAATAGAGGCGTTACGATTTAGTAGCAGAAACGGGAACGTTAGCCTCCTCCCATGAGTAGCAAATAATGATATTGTTCGTTAAAGAAATAGGTAAAGATTGTTTGTCAATATTATTGTATTATCCTATTTGCTATTAAAATTGAAAGTTTATTCAAAACAGATATATAGATCCATATAAAATCTTGAATGATATGATGATTGAGGTTTGTCGTGTTTCCCACAAATGATTACCTTGATAAATAATTAAGTAGATGTAGAGATAATTAAATGAATAGATTGGATATTTCTGTGTGTTTCCATTCTCAATATAGATTCATATGAATCTTGTCTGCTTCTATTTTATATTCCATCACATAATCTAAGTGCGTTTTAGTTGCATGCTCTCCGTCTTGTATAAATGGCGGTGTATGTACAGTATCTGGAAGATGCAATTGTACATCTAGTTGGACAGGTGCATATTGTCAAAAATGTATGTAAGCATTAGTATTTGTAGTATTCTAACATTGAACTAAAATGATTTACTGCAACGCGATATAATAATCGTATTGCTGACAGTATAGAATATCTACAAATGACAATTATAACTACATTCATATTGAGTCTTTTAATCGTGAATCTTATGATTAAAGTAGCAAAGTTTTTCTCTCGTTGTCGTGAATTTTATTATTCTAAGATAAATTTATTTGAATTAAAATTGAATGTTCTAATAGCTTACGTAGACATAATATAACATTTCTATTAACTGTAGAAATAATTTATTTCTTATTGAATATTCAATTTCTAATAAATCAATGTGATTTTTTTAAGCTGCGGGTTCATGTTTTTATGGTAAAGATCAAGTTGAATTAGTTCATGGTGAAAAACGTTTCATTGAAAATTTGAAAGTAGGTGATCGTGTTTGGTCAATGACTCCAGATGGAAATTCATTGATAGAAGACGAAATTATAATGATGATGCATAATGAACCAAATATATCAGGTTTGAATTCAGATTTTAGAAGTCATAGAAAAACAAGTCTGAGAGGGACACAAAAGAGCGTCTTCTTATCTTTCTCTTTCATGGAAATACTGAGAATCTTTGTTATATTCGACATAAACACCTTCAAAATGGTTTTATGAGAAATTATTCGTTGAAAATAATTTAATTAATATATTACATAGTTCTGTAAATGTTTGGAAGCGTAGGTTGAATCCTACTACGGTTACTTACGATGGATCTTGAAGATGTTTATATCTAGAATATAAAAGAGATTCTCAGTGTATATATGAAGAAAGAGATGGAGTTTTTTCATGTTTATTTCAGACTTCTTTTTTCTATTTTTTTATAAAATATGAGTCACTTTTCAATAATGTTGGAAAGATAAATGCTTATAATATTTTGTATAAATTAAGAATATCGATGTAGATGTGATTAATTTGATTTAAATTGTTAATATTGTAACTATTTTAGCATTATTTTATACATTTAAAACAATTGAAGGATATGAAGTTAGTCTTACTGATCGACATAATGTTCCAATATTTGATTCAAAAGAAAATCAAATCAAAATCAAACGTTCATCATTTGTACGACAAGAAGATTATTTATTAATGTATAAGAAAAAAATCAAAATTGAAAATATAACGATAAATACTCGTATTGGCTTTTATTCACCATTAACTTTAACTGGTTATTTATTAGTTAATAATATTTCAACATCGGTTTTTTCTGATAGGTAATTTCATTTTCTATATTAATTATTTAAAATATAGATTAAATTTCTAATGAAACTACTGAAACTGTATGCTATTAAATTTCTGTAGGATACGATAGATTTTATTGCATTGATTTCGTTCTTTTAAATTCGATTAAAGTTTAACAGATTCAATATTTACATTTCAATAAAACTCATGAAAATTTATCAGATTAGAATAGATAGAATTTGATGAAATTTAAACATTAGAAACTATTCTGAATTTTAAATTTATTCGATACATGTTGAAATCTGGATATGCCGATGATTTGATTTTTGTTTAAATTGAATTGTTAATATTAATTTGAAATTTGTTTAGTTATAAAACTTCATCAAATACAATTCAATTTGTTTTTCTTCCAATTCGTGTTTATTATCGTTTAACACGATTGATTTATGGAAAAGATTATAATCCATTTGGAGATATTCAATATGGTTTACATCCTGTTGCGAAATTTTATAAAGATTATCAAAAGCAACTTCGTTTTTTATTTCATACATCAAAATATATTCTTCCAACAATTTTTATTTATTTTATTATGAATTTTTTCGAGAAAATAATTCTTCCAAAATTACAAAAAATATTCAAAATGAATAAAATATGAATTTGTTTTTATTGATTAAAATCATTCTTAGAAAAATCTTTTCATTTGTTCGTTTTATTTCAATTTTATTTTAAATAAAATCATTTTCACATATTTTCATTTAAATCCAATTAAAATCCTCTTCTTCTTCTTTTTAATAATATTCGTTACAAAATCGAATAATTAATATACAAAATATATTCGAAGTGTTTTTTCTTCATTCAGTGTAATTAGTCCCATATTTACTTGAAGATTAATTTAATTTGAAGATTTTTTTTTATTATTTCAACATTTAAAATTTATCTAACAAAGAATAAAAAATTCACGTTCAAATATTCTCATTTGGGACAATAAGATTAGATATATGGGAAAATAATTGTCAGTCGGGTAGTTAGAGATTGTAATCATTTATAATCATATGAAATTCTATTTGAAATTTAATTTATCTTTCTCAACTATTCATCATCTATCTTTTAATATTCGAATATTATTTTAGACGGCAGATTTCTATAAGGGTTTTTCATTATTTGATTGGTCATAGATCTATCTATGATAATATTAAGGAATACGTCAAAAAAAGACAGTAGAAATATCTTTTGTAGTTTTTTTTCATTTAATTCTTCAAATAGTTCCATGAGAGAAATCGATTTTAACTTCGTATGATCAATTATTTACGAATACTTCTCTCTAAAATATATTTATTTCATGATTCGATAGAGTGTTGAACTAATATTCCATGATCTATTGAAAGATTTGATAAATAAAATAATTCTTTTACTATATTTATTATTTTCTTTTCTCTTAGATAATTTATCAAATAGTATTAGATTAGATTTATGTTCAAATATCTCTAATTTATCATAAAAAACCAAGTAATTTCAATATATATTTCAAATCGAGTCATTTAATAAACTCTTTATTAATAATAGAAATTTATTTTAATAGTTTTTATATAAGAAAATAAGTTGTATTTAAAAAAGCTCATCTCTTTTCTTCTTTGTTTTTTTTCCATGTCGATGATGACGATGTTCACGGTGTTGACGATGTTGACGATGTTCACGATGATGTTTTTTCAAAGGAATATTATTCGTAGGAATAACTTTAACTGATTTTTTTTTAATTAATTTAATAATAAAAATAAGAGTTAAGATAATTCCTAAAGCAGCTGGAATTCCTAAACCAATTGAAAGACCAAGAATAGTTCCTAAACTATCTAAATTTGATTTATTTAAATAAAATTAAAAAGAATTTAATCTAATTACATTGTAATGGAGATTTCTCTGTTGTTGTTATATCTATAATATAAGATAAGATAAGATAAGATTTATTTGTTATTAAAAATGGAAATTAACCTGGATATTGAGTTGAAGTTGTTATATTATTATTAAATTGATCATTTGTTGTTTGCTGAGTAAATGAATAAGTTATTGAAAATGTTTCGTTCGAACTTATTACTTCTCCAATTGTATCAGTTTCAATATATTCACTTGAATATTTATTTGTTGTTGTTGTCGTTGTTGTTGTTATAGAAGATGAATGAAGATATGACGTTGATGTTATTGGATTAAATATTCTATAAAATAAATTTCATTTGAATATTTAATTCTAATAAAATGTTATTAACTCTGTTGTTATTGAAGATGAATCAGTTGAAATTGTTTCATCAATTGTTGTTAGATTTGATGTTGTTTCATCATTCATTTCTGCAGAAGACTAAATAATAATAATAATAATAATGTAGAGTCTAATTAATAAGAAAACTAATTTTACAAATGTCTCATTATCTTCTAAATCTTGAAATGGTGGAAGTGTTGTTCCTAAATAATAACAAAAAAATGAAATAATTTATTTTTCAAAACTAAACTGACCACATATTCCTTTTGTAAGAGATATTTGATCAAAAGCAACATAAAATGGTTCAGATAGAATTGTCATATCAGCACGAAATATTCGAAATATAATCTATTTACAAAACAAATTATTTATTTGTTGATTTAAATAAAACTATACTCTATAAGATGTTGAATTAGGTTTAAATTCTGCTCTTGCTAAATTCCATCCATTAATCGATACATCAGTAAATCCAGCAATTAATTTTCTTTCACCTTGTTCATTTATATAATCAGTTAATAAAAGAACAACATTTTCTTTTGTTAAATAATAATAAAATGTTAAACAAGTTACATCTTCAGATGCATTTATTATATTTGAACTTATAAATTCACGTTGTTCAACATTTTCAAGTAATAATAAATGATATTTACCTTAAAATAATATACAAATAAAAGTAAATAGATTTATTTTAAAATTAATTTCTAACCTTGTTGACATTGATCATGGGAACCATTTATTGTTAAACATGTCATTTCATTTAACGAATTTGAACAAAAATACAAATCATCATCAGAAATTAATTCATTTTTATAAGGAATTTGACACTTCGAACCATTTTTTGTTGGTTTTACTAAAAGAAAAATATTTCGATTTATTAAGAAATGAAATTATTTTTTGTTTTACATATAGAAGAAACATCAGATAATGGTTGATTTGGTTTTGATCTAATTGATAAATTATATCCTGAATCAATAATCATTTCTTTTCCACCATCAAATGAATTTAAACGACACAAATCATTTTTATCTAATGTACATTGATAGAATAATTCATTACTTGAAATTTTATTTACAGTAACAATTAATATTATTATAGAAATCAAAACTTGAAAAAGAGAAAAAAAATCTATTTGAAAATTTTATTTCATTTTATTTAACTTACATAGTGACATATGATGTTTTGTTTTTAAAATAGAATTGCAAATAAAAAGAATTTTCTTAAAGAATATTTACTTTTGATGAAATTTACGAACTGATAACATATCAAGAATTTTATCATAAGAAGTTAACGTTACCTATGACAAATAAAAAATTATTTTAATTCGAAAGAATAACAATCTTTCATCAACAAAATAAAAACTCGATCAATATATTTACACGATATTATATATTCAAATTCATTCATAATTATTATTTCAAAGTTTCTATCTTATTAAAATAGAATAATAAACTCAATTCATAAAATAAATTAAATATTATTTAGTTGAAATCAGAAAGAATTCGAATAGTGAAAAACTAATTGTTAATTGATTTCCAATCGATTTTATATATTATCTATTATATTCAATTATGATAACAATTCATTATCTGGAATGAATTCATGAGAAAATCCTAGATTATCTATATGAATTTTATTAATAAATTAAAAATAATAAAAAAAACGAGTTTTATCTTGAATATATCCAACTAGAAATAATTGTTTCCAACACAAAAATCAAGACATATATGGAAAGATTTCTTACTAAACATGTTTATTCTGTATACGTTGATTCGATATTGAATCATTATTAGTTTATTTTAATAAAGAAATCTTATTAAAAAGAGAAAAGAGAAAATGTTTGAAAATCGATTATTTATGTTAATGATCAACTGATCTAAAACTTTCGTTTATCTTAATATATGATCAAAAAAGTAGATTATGTAATATATGAGCAAATACAATCTCATATAACCGTATTTACAGAGTTTTAAATGATCATTTATAGAATAATTTTTATTATAAAATCAAAAAATGGAAAGTAAAAGGTGAATGAGTTAATTCGAGTTTATCTTTAACTTGGATAATAAGATTAGATGTGAATTTTTCTATAAAATCAAATCATTTGGTAAATAGATGTCATTAATTAGAATAGAAATTCGATTGGTATTCATTTTTATATAAGATGATTCATAATAATCGAGTACTAATTTATCTCTTTTCATTACTTTCTACTTATTCACCTTTTGAGTATTATTTTATTTTAGATCAAATATTCGAATGAATAAAATCCATAGAGATTTAAATAAAAATAAATTGTTAAATATTCGAAATAAATTTTTAAAGGTAAATAATTATAAATATACGAAATTTGTAATATTGTTCTATTAAATCAATATATTCTCTAAATTCTTCTCATAAGAACTACTTCAGTAGATAAGTATTTATTCTAGGATTAAACAGAATAATTTTCAATAAGATTTAAATCTATGAGAAATGTTCGAAGATTATTATTCTAATAGATTTGTTATTAGAAGAGTTTTTCATCGAATTATTTCAAATAAATCAATTGAGTAGAAAAGTCTTTTGATATTATTTAATATTTTCTAAAATTGACTTTTAATGAAAAATCCTTTTGAAAAAAATGTGTTTAAATATTTTAGATAATAAAAATGTCTAAAGAGACAGATGTAATAGTTGATAATAATTTATCACCTGATGATATTTATGGTGAACTTTATAAAGAAGTTCAATTAAAACATATATTTGCTGATACAAAAACATTTGTTGATTGTGTACCTAAAATATGTTCAAAAGATATTTTAAAATTTTATAATGAAAAAAAAGATTTATCTAATTTTGATTTATCAAAATTTATTCATGAATATTTTAATTTACCAAATTCAGTTGGAAAGAATTTTTCAAGTGATTTAACAATGTCAACTGTTGATCATATAAATTGTTTATGGGATATTTTAACACGTCCAGCTGATACACCAGCATTAGAAAGTTCACGGATTGCATTACCTTATCCATATATTGTACCTGGTGGAAGATTTGGAGAAATATTTTATTGGGATTCATATTTTACAATCTTAGGTTTATCAACATTACCTAATAAATTAAATCTTATTGAAAATATGATTGATAATTTTGCTTATTTAATTGATAAATATAGTTTTATACCAAATGGAAATCGAACTTATTTTCTTAGTAGATCTCAACCACCTTTTTTTGCTTGTATGATTGATTTATTAGCAAATTTAAATTCTAATCCATCAAATATTAGACAAAAATATTTATCTCATTTATATAAAGAATATCTTTTTTGGATGAAAGGAAAAGATAAATTAAGTCAAAATCAAATTTTTAATCAAGTATGTTTATCTTTTTATTTATTTAAATAAATAATTATTTATTTATTTATTTATTTATTTATTTATTTATTTATTTATTTA